ATCAGGTTGGAATAGTAAAGACATTATGACTGATTTATTTGTTATTTATTGAAATTAAATTTTACTAGTCATACTGGGTAAGGTATATATATAAATAGGGGAATATATGGGAGGGGAGAGTTCTATGTAATGCAGTTTATTGTTTTGTTTATTGATGTAGTAATGTGAAGGCTTTCTTTATTAGGTCTGCCAAAAGTTATTCGAGTTAAGTATTGTATCAAGTATTATTGTTAGAAGCTTATTGGTCATGTATTAACAGTCATGGTGTTACAACTGTAGTCTAATGACTTCTATTAGTGTTTCAAATCTGGTCAACTGTTTGAGACAGGTGTCACAGTATTCAAATGAATCAATTGATTTCACATAACATGAATAGAGATGAGATGTTTATATCGTATAACGGTAGTTTCATACTTGGAATTTATTATACAAAACACTTGTTGACCAGATTTGAAAATTCCCAGCCCTTAAACCATATCAGATGATTAACCCGTAACATATCTGCGTCAAGCTCCCTTTATACCATCCCTTACACATATCCTCTACATATCACCCCCCCCCCTCCTCCTAGTTCACCTTAACATATCTCTTAGGCATAAGTTATGTTATGCTTTTATGTAGTATTAAAATACATTATTGTTATTGTTTATATAGTTCATGTGTTAGTGAACTCGATAAGGTTTGTCTTTGAATTATTATTCCTTTGAAAGGAAGTTCTTACTTAACCATATCCTTAGGAATAAGTGTAACACCATGATATCGGAGTCTAAGCCGAAATCCAAAAGAGAATTGAAAATCTTGGGGAACACTCTTAAAGTAATATAGTTTTCGAATTTAAATGTTTATAAATTTGATAATGTTTGTATCAATATGTTTCCCTCGTTAGTTATCCATAATGCAAAGGGGCAATAAGTAAATTTATATGAATATTTAAAAGACAAAGGTTTATTTTGTATTTAATAATTTGTGTATTGTTAGTAGCACAGATATCTCCATAAACTTTAAGTTACGTTAGATTATACTATAATAATACTAAGAAACGATTGTACTGTTTTTTAGCCTTATTTGGTTAAATAAAAGTGTGTATATTTCTTGTGCCTATTAGTTATGCCATGTGTTTTCTACTTAATGATAGTTTTGTTGTGATGTTTTTCTCTAAATTCACTAATAGGCAAATTGTTTTCTTTAGCCATTTCTTTAGTTCATTGTGACTAGAAGACATAATTTTTGTCAACTTATTGAATAACAATATATTTTAAAGTTACCAGGTAGGTTGAGCTTTAACTTTTTTTACAAGGATTATTCCTTAAAACATTAGTCTTATGTTACAAGCTATATGGTGTTTTTTCCTAACTGTTCTTATATATTTTCAGAACCAATTTTAATGGTTTTGTTGAAAGATAGAGTTTAATATAATCGTACGCAAGATTTAATTGTCGAATTTGTTGATTTTGTACTGTGTCTTAAGATCTAATTTGATCTTAAGTTTAGTTTTAAAAATCAATGATTTAAATAAAATCAATTTATTGACACAAAAATAAACGTTACATACATGTTAGGAATATAAATCGAACAGGAATGGTAGAACATCTCCTTAAAGTCTTATTGAATCTCTACTAGAGGAGAGTTGGAATATTAACACTTTAAAACCTAAGCTCAAGTATAGCTTGGGATTTAGACGGGTTACACACATATGCTGATGCATCTTGCACGGTGTGACTAGCATTTTTCTTACTACTAGCTTGCAGCACAAAGACCAACCTGTGTTAATCAAATGGAGCTTACACACATATGGGACTGGCGCTGTGCTACTGGCATCTTGCAGCTCGTATGCAGCGTATGGCTATTTCAAAAACTCTAATGTATCCGTTGTCATTCATATACTACATACTGTGATAAAATAGAGAGTCGCTCCTAACACAGAAAAATCACGCTTTCTACTATTCTTTTGGGACAGTGGTCTTTTGGAAGGTCAAGTATTTGATGAACTATGAAATTGTCTGGAATCATGCAGTACAACTTCTGGAACTTCTCTGGATGTTCCAAGGTCTGATCATGTATTGGCTACTTTTAACATTTTGGCACCAATAAGGGGATGTCCAATATTTTCTTCACCCCACAGCATTTCATCAACCAATGACGATATCAAAATTGTCCAATGAACTAAGCGCTAAAAAGCCTACTAGCACAAGCAACGACCATGCGTGTATGCATCTCGCACTGTGCTACCGGCATCAAACATTCTAGTCGCACCATGTGAGATGCATGTGTGTAACCCACCTTAAGTTCGTTGAATCTCACCTGCAAGTTCTTATGTGCTTATAGCGGAACTTGTTGCTTTCTGCCGACGGTGGCATGGTGGCTCAGTTGGCTAAGGCGTTGCACTGACCAGTGTAGCACTGAGTTCTTTCTACATGCGGAAGTTTGAATCCTGTACATGTGCAATCCATTTTAAGCTTAATAACGTGTGGCTTAGCTGGTGAGGAGGGCACACGTTAAATAAATGGTGTCTGGCTAAAAAGGAAGTTGAATTATTGACAACCTCAACAACAGTTGACAGATTTCTTGAATTTGCCATTTTGAATCTTTCAACGGCTGCCATTTTATACTCCCTCGTCCGTTTAAGTTTGGTTTTGTGGCATTGTATTTTCCTAATAAAGACCTTTAAATCAATGTCCATATTCAACCTATGCTTAGGTTAAAGATTTTTTTTCTGAATCCTACTGGTCCTTCCCCCTGAGGAGGTGGCGTATCACTGTATAATGTTTTTAAATAATTTTGATGTGCAGTGTCTTTCTTTCAAATTTTTTTTTGCTCTATTTTTATTACTTATTGAAATATTTAGCCATCCCGGGACTTTTTTTAACCTTTTATACCTTTGTAACCGTTGACCTTAAAAATATTAAGACGAGGACTATTCTTCTTTGAAATTTATCATAGAATATTTTTGTAAATTACATATTTTGCTTTAAACCACATAGTTTTCAAGATATTTCACAAAACCACAAATTTTTCAACTTTAACCCCTCCTCCCACCACAAACCCAAGGTTCAAAATGGTGTAACTTTTTAACACACAATACGAGGAGTATACTGAACAGTTTGGAGTCAAAAGTTAGCTTTCACTTTGGATGTTGAGCTTTAGGTCTAATTGCACCACTAATAGTACCAGTAGTTGTTTTTTAAATGAATTTGTAATTGATTTATTTAGAATTAAAATAGACATGATTAATTCCCTGAATAATTCATGGTTGTTTAAAGGGTCAAGTATTCAGATAATTATTACATAAGCCTAAACCGGATCTCAGACCTATGAAAGTAATAATTGTTTTATTATTTATATTGTAATTCATTGTTGGAATATATTATTGATAAAATGAAATAATTACCTTATTTATAAATAAATAAGTTCTTTATAACTTCATCAGGTCATTTTGTATGCAACCACATCATCAATGTATTAATACATTGTGGTATTTCAATAGATTATTTAAGAACAAATATCTAAAATATCACAACATCAGCAATCCAGTTATGCTGAATATTTATTATCAGAATCACAAAACTAGGACATCTATTGATAAGAACATGGAAATAGTTGAAGTATTAACAAAAATTTTTAAGCTTGATATTAAAGAAGAATCAATTAATTGGGGCTTCAATTAAACACATGTAACATACTTTCTCCCATGCTTGTCAACAACCTTTATCAAAGGTAGGCGGTAGGAGTACTGTGATATTTTATAAAGGAAAATAACAAAAGTTGCAATAACTTTTGAACCGTAATTGTTACAGCAATGGGGGTTGCACTACTTTGTTTAGAATTATAAGGACCATAAAACATCAAAGCCGGCTTTTTACATAAAATCCAACATTTGTTATTCTATGGGTTATTAAATGAGATAATAAAATCAAAACAACCACACTTTGCTTTAACCGTACACCCTGTTCACGGCAAAACCCACGATCGTCTCCAGCGATTTGTTCACATCCTGTGACTATTTTTTTTTATATCAGCGTAATTTGTGGCCATAATCTCAATACTCTTGACAATGTTTTGCGATCGCAGCCATTATCTGAGATCATATTTAAATCACGGCCAAATGTGTGACAATTTCCCGTGATCGTGGCAACGCTAGAATTGCAGTTAACGTTGTCATTGTCTTAAGCGATTGCGGAAACATCCACCATAATCTCAATACTCTTGACAATTGTTTGCGATCGCGGCCATTTTCTAGGATGGTATTTCAATTGCGGCAAAATTTGTGATGATTTCCCGCGATCCCGGCAACGGCTGTCATGATTTCTTGCGATCGCGGCAATTTCCGGTATTCGCAATAGTTTCCCACGATTGTAATAATTTTGAACTACGAAAAAAAGGGGGAGGACATTTAGTAAGCACATAATTAATTGTTGAACTTATTAAGAAAACTACTGTGCCAGGGGGCCCCGGGCGCTCGCACCGTCCGCCCATAGGTAAGTTCGGCCCTGACCTCTATCATTTTTGCAATGAAAAGGGTGTGCCTAATAATGCCAATGATAATTTTTTTGCAACAAACCACTTTCTTCAAGAGCACAGACAAATTTCACTTTGGACATCGTAATGTTGTCGCTATGGACAGTGCACTGCATGTGATGCTCCCACGTGCTTTCACTTGACGTTTGATTGTTGCGGTAGAACAGGACAAGTGTGACAGGGCAAAGTCAATGGGGTAAAAACGCATCCTGCCCAGCCGCATCCTGCTAAATGTGATAGTGTGGCACCGGCCTTACAGTTACAGGATAAAATTAAAAGTGTTTTTGGTACTTAAGTCTATAAGTTGTATGCTTTAAACTCTGTACTTTCTCATGGATGTTAAATACTTTTGGAAACCCCCTCCAAACCTCAAACTAAATAAATATTTCATTCATTATAAAGTTTCACACATAAATGATCATGAACCACAAAAAGCTTGGACTAAATATAATTCATTGTCAACTCGGTATAAATAAAAAGAACAATTAACATTCTAGGTTTATTTATAAACAGTTTTCATTAAGACTACATATATTTTATCATGTCACAGTATTAAAAATTATAAGTAACATAAACATTGGTACTGTTTTACAATTATTAATATAAAATAATATATAAATGATTAACAAACAGTTCTATTAAGAACTATAACATTTTCAAATCCGCCCTAGCATACTTTACAATGACACGATTTGCATTTTGTTTTGGCACTATCTCAAAACTGAGGACAGAAAAGGGATTCAGACCAAACAACTTACATCCAGATGTATCCTGGTATATTAGAAATAATTAGGTAATATTTACAATGCACCAAACGTACCGGCACCTTAGAATATACAAAATATAAATTACTATTTATTTACAGATACTTATAATTTATGTAAAAAAGTTAAGTCACTAGATAGATTTGATGTGATCTTTGAAATGTTAGTTTAGGTTTCTAATGTGAGCTAACCATTCGAGTTTAATCCCGATATGGTCAACTCCTGAGCAAATAGTTCAGTTGTCATGCTGTACATTAAGCATTTTCTAAGTCCACAGACAGACATTGTTATCTTGTACATATAAATATTAAGTTGGTTAGAGATAGAAATAAGTGAGAATTTTCATTTTTGATGATTTGGTAGTGATAGAAAATATTATAAACACCATTAGCTTTTACTAGCAAACCTGTAATAAAAAAAAAATTGTACCCAAAGCATGAGAGAATGGCCAATAACTATGTATATTTTACAATAAGATACAATTCCATAAAATGCAGTTCTCTAAGACTCCTGAATAAAACAATTAAAGTTTGATTTACATATCGGTCTCAGGTCAATTATTTTATTCTAAGAAGTCTGAAATAATGATAAAGACCACAAGATAAATTCAAGCTACAAAGTTTTTCCTTGAGGTAACTTTGTAAATGTCCTCAATGAAAATTTACAAAATAAATACAAAATTAAGTGTCTATATTTTCTATCTTAAATTAAAATATTATTTACAATGGATGGAGTTGCCTGGCAGAGTCTGTACAGGTGAAGTCCCTTTAATAAATACATCAGACGAGTTATTGAGTGTCACTGAAACAAGATTTTCTAATTATTTAGGTAAAATCCCAAGATGGATAAGTATTAACAACTAGAGTAAACCCTCATTCATGCAGGTCCCATTATTTTAACTTTATCTCGATGGCCATTTGACAGTAATTTGTAAATCCTACAGTACTTCATACTTCTAAGCAAAGAGAATTAAGGTAATAAAATCAAATCAAGTACAGAGGAAACATTCAACGGTACACTTAAGAGGTGTCTAGCACTAGTCGCTTGTGTCTAGGGCAAAGTCCTGCACAGCACCCCTCTCCCTCATGTACTACAATGCTCATGGTGGAGGAAGACACTGTGCCATGTGCAATAGGAATTTATCGCCGCTCTATGGCTATTCCTTGCTCTTCACAAGTACATGACCAGCACAACATACTGTTATATATATATATATATATATATATATTTTATCTCCCACCTTCACATCCTAGGACGCTAGGTTTTATTACTACTTCGAGCTGCATAAAATTAATTCTTCAGAGTTATTTTAAGGCTGATTCCATCTATTATAATACTGTAAGGTAACCTGAGTGCTTACCTCAAATACGTTACTACTGGGAAATATCTCTCATAGTGAGTCGAAGTTTGAGATGTCACTTCCTTGCTGTAAAAATTGAAATACAAGTCATTTAATGAATTGCCAAACTGCAATATATTTCATAAAATTATATGTATACAACATTTTAAATGAACACACAATAATCATCAATATCAACTTTATAAGAATTTTAACTGTCAGGAAATAAAAAAATAACAAAAAGATAAAGTTGGCTTCAACATCAGCACCAAATGCATTTTTGATCAATTCCAATTTTTGATTTAAGAAATACAATATTTTAATGCTTCCTTGCTATGAAAACATATGTAAAATAAGTTAAAAATGAATAGTATGATGTAACAATTCAATATAAACATGACTTTATTGACTCAATGAACAATTATGAAGTATATTACTGGTTCAGAGATATGGATTTCCTTTCAATGTCAAGCCTTACATATAAAAAAATCACAGCAGAAAGGAACTATATTTTCTTCGTGTAAATGTGTTGTTGATTATCCATGCCGTTTAAGTGAATCAAAAATGTTATTCTATTCAAATTATAACAAACTTACTCGATCTGTTTTAAAAAGCTGTGTTTGTGGCATCATAAACGTTGAGCCGATATCTCTTTCCACCATAGTATGGCCCTCCTGCAAAAAATGTCATGTTATTTTATGGCTTAAGGTAATTTAAGAATTAAGAACAATGGTAGATTTAAAAGGTCTTTTGTGGTTTTCCTTTCACTAACTCAGTAGCCTACGTCAATACTTTTATCATAGTTTGAGATTCCTTTTACTCTGATGACATTTGTACTAGACAAAACAGTACACACTTAAACTTGCACAACTAACAACTCAATCTTGCACAGCATGTTCAATTTATATGCTTAACAGGGATACTCACTGTATAAGCAGCAGTGACAAAGTTAATTTCATACCAGTATTGTTAGGTGTTTTAATGTCCATCATAATAACGTATATTACTGCATATACAGCAAGTAAAGAGATAAAAAGTAGAACATATCATTGAGCTAAAACTGGAAAACGCTGTATTTCCAAGTGAGGTTCGAAGTTCGCATAATGGAGTAAGTGTTCTGGGCTGGTTAAAATAATGTGTAACTTTTGCAGATCGGCAAGGCCTGACAATCTGGAAGAGTTGGATAATTGGGTCTGCACAGTTCTAATTTTACTTCATGTCTTTCAAAGTTTTATTTTTCAAGATGGATAGCCAAGATATAGTATAAGTGTATTGAATACCTTTGGAGTACCGATAATTTAGGTATACCTACTACAAAGGTATTACTCCAAGTATTTTAATATATTTAAACCCCTTATAGTACTTCCTAAGTTGATTTTAAAACAACCAAATCTGGTGGCAGTTCTAAACTAAATGAACTGAGAATTGTAAATATTCTTTTAGCTTATGAACACTCTACTTACATCGTTGTTGCGATGAGAGCTCGTGGAAAGTCGTTTTGAATCGTAATCGCGATGAAGACTTTTTGTCGGAGGATGAATTGTTGTCTCATCATAGCTTCGTGCCTCGGAAACCGTCCTAAAATCAATACTTATATAAACTTATGAACTTTTTACAGTGTGTGAACCCAAAAAGGACATACTTTCAAAGGATTCTATTAAGTTGGTAAATTATATGTAATAGTGAAGTAATATTTTTTTAGTCTCTCAGTGCAAAGATTAAAGCAGTGAGCACATCATAGCTAGTTGAAAAGTAACATTTAAAGTTGACACCATTTCCAAACAGTTTAACAAACAAAATACAAAACCATAATTAGGAAAGATAACCAAGGAACTAAGCCTGATCCAGTTCCAAAGATTAAATCTTCACTGCTGTAAATCTATGTTTTGTGTGTCAAGCTTATAATTTCAATTTTTAATGAGAGGGTGGACAGTAAAAGATGTACACAGGAATATCAAGGAAAACACGAGGCACCATTTATGTAGGATAAACTTGGTATTGTAAAAGAAGAAAGAAGCTTATTCTAACACATTCCTATTTCCAAATATCCTGTTTATGAGAAACTAAATCTCCAGTTTACTGTTTTTTTATGATTTTCAGGACATAACAATATTTCTTTCATGTATAGGACATTTCTTCAAAACACTTGTTATTAATTTCAGATGGCAAAAATCATTTCACATTTTTTTTAAACCTCTGATTGAGAAACACTGGATATTTTTTATTTACTATATGTCTATAATACTAAAAGTTTTTTTAATGATGCTGAACGATTAATTAATTTAATATAATTGGATGAATAAATAAGAAAATTAAACTTAATTTTTACCAAAATAATATATTTGATGTTAAGAAAACCAGTTGATGAACTTTCTTTGTACAGTAATAGAATTAACCATTCTCGAGTATCAAGAATTAAGAAATATACCGATTTCGCTATTTGCTAAAATTTTGTTTCACTTCCTATGATTTTTATTTCAAAGTTCAATAAAAAATATCACATTTTTATAGTTGTCACTAAATTGCAATTTTGCTAGAAATGGTCTAGGGCATAACTTTAATCCAAATATTGAAATTGTTAGTACAACGAAATGTAAAAGTCTACACTAGTTATAAAGATCCTAAGTACTTTATTTTAGAATTAGAGTATTTGGAAACTCATAAGCTAGAAAGAAATATTTTGCACAATACTTGACCCAACGTTTATATTGATGGAGCACAAACTGTATAGTAAATATTTTTAATATAGCCTATATTCGTTCTGGTTTTAACTTTGGGCTTAAAAGTTCTTCAGTTCATGTTATACTCTTTTTTCCGTCTATGAGGAGAGATTATAAATTTTGGAAATAACTGATTAGATTTGTTATAAACCAATAAAATCATTATGAAGTTTGGTAAAGAAAGTTAAAGCTTGAACCTAAAATATGTTCTTCAGTAGGTGGGTTCATACACGTACTTTCAATGCCACATGTATAAAATATTTACCAGTAAAATTTTTAAATTACTACAGTGGGTCTTGTATTGTCCAAACATTAGTTTAGTTTACTTTACATGCAGTGTTAACCATATGTACCAAATAACAGAGCAAAGAGAAGTAAGAATGGTAAGTAGAAAGATATGAAAACAGAGATAGTAGTTGAAGAATTTCGTCTTACAGTCGATCAACTTTAGTGATGATGTCTTCTAGTTCTGCCTCTAAGGTGGGAGGGGGTGGAATGTCCACAATAATGCAGCTGAAAAAATAGATAAGTAAGCACCAACGCCTTAGTCTTATACCCCAACATATGCTTTTATGGTATAACTCTTACCTGGAAAAATTATTGGTTCCATATTCTATGTTTTATTCAATAGTATCTCTACTAAAGGAACGTTTTGTCTGGAGAACAAAATATTTTAAATTCTTTCAATGCAATGAACTTGGTAACTCAAAGGTGTACAGATGCTGCGAAACAATTTTACCCTAAGTTTTAAAAACATTAATAATTCATAGCAATAAATAGTTTCTTACAAACTCTCTTTGAATAGATTTCTTCGGTGTTTTCATTAAAGCACCAAAAACACACACCTCCTCACATTCGTGTGCGTTGTGAGCCCTAACATGTACGGTACTCTTGAAATTTTATAGGTAACACCAAATTGTTTTAATTTTTTACCAACGACATTTTTATCATAAAAATGTCTCTTTCTCAAGCTCGAACCAGCACATTCCACTTTTAAAGGCGAGCACTATAATCTCTTAACTTCTTAGCCATCAACCACAAGCACAGCTATATCTCCTTCTGTAGACCTGAAAAAAGGTAATGACTACTCCCAAATTATGTTGTGCCTCCTGCAAAAGTATCCTTTTCCAGCCCTGATATCTTTGAAGTAAATTCAAACTTTGTTAAAACTATTGAAGTTAGTATTTATAAGTATACAAGAAACTAGGAAATAATGAAAGGAGGTAGAAATTTGAATGCCAATCCAATTCCTAATGATAATGTTAAAATTCAACAGCCATAATTTTAACTTTTGGGATTCTGCCAGGTTAAGGCTCATCCTTATAGACGATTGATCATAAGGTTGAACTTTTTTAAGCTTACTAAGATCCAATCACATTCAAAAGTTTTTTTACCTCTCTGCAGTTCGTATGGTGTTGAACTGAGGCTGACTTAGGTCAGTGTGAGGTTCGAGGAAAGCCTCGTCCAGTTCTTTTGTTCGACCGACCGTTGCTGACACCTCGAAGCCAGCTGAGACTAGAGCTCCTGCAATAATATGGAAATCACAATCATGCTACACTTCTGATAATTAATATTCACTACTTATCCAATAGATACATTTCCACTGTAAAAATATTAAAGGGCCTCTGTAGGGTTTATGCTTACAAATGTTTTGTAATTGGCACAATAGAATGCTGAATAGTTGATGACTACAATAGTTTAAAAGCTGAACCACAAAATCCTACAGACCAATTAATTGCAACACATTAATGGCCGAGGGCCCAGTGAAGGACAGTCCCTTTTGGCCCTAATTATTGGTGTAGGGCTATCTATTTGTGTGTGGCTATGACGTCCTAATTATTTACGTGAGGCAAACAGTCTCTTAATTCATTCTTGGTAAGGAGTTTGTGACATGAGACCTGTCTAATTTGCATGTAATTTTTTTTGGCCTTCTAGGAATACACAATAATTCTTCTTACCTGTAGAGGGTTTTCTCGGAGCAGCAGGCTGAGACGAAGATTTTCGTGATCGAAGCTGTTCAGACTGAGTCGTAGAATTACTTGGTTTTCGGCTTGTGTTTCTTGAACCCTGAACATAAAAAAGTTCTCTTGTCAATGAATATAAATGTAAAGCATGGATTGAAATTGTCAAAGAACCATGAACAGGAATAAGGTATAATATGTGTTTCTTGGAAAAACTTTTCACTTTTCAGTGTTTCGGATTAAATTTTAATGTCGGACCTATGTAAACTATGTCCCACATGTGGTCATATTTGGAGCAACTGTGCTAATAAAAAGTAAAGTTTAGTTTATTTTAATTTGATTCATGTCAAGATTTATTCTTCTGAGTAAATATTTGGATTTAGAAATATGTTGTATGATTTTATGAAGCATATTACATCATCATTTTCTTTACTTCTAGGAACTCTGTGATAATCCTACAATAGATAATAACATTTTTTTTTTAAGTGAAAAAAATAACATGAAGTCTACATGTTTTGTTGGTGTTTTTGTGTCTTTGCTGTAAGATGCACACGTTTTATTACTGCATGATTTGATATTTTGGTAAATCTACCAGCACTGACTTTTCTCACAATCAAATCTTAGTGGCGTTATCATTAAACAGAGAGGTAAGGAACAGAGGAAACATTTAATGGTAAACTTAAGTTGTGTCTAACACTTTCTGGTGTTTAGGGCAAAGTCAAACACCGCTCCACTTGCTCTCATGTACTATACCCTCATAGTGGACGAAGACCCTGTTTCCTGTGCGATAGGAATTTCCGCATAGTGCTCACCGTTCAGCTAGGCTCTTCCCTTGCTTGTCACAGGTGTATTTCTAACACAAGATATAGAGCTGAAATCGCACAGTCGTCCCATAAACGTACTTCCTTTATACGTTACTTCTCTGTGATCATTGTCAGGCGAACACTATAACCACAAGCTGTCATACTGCCAAATACAACTTGTTACCAACCTGTTTGTCGGGAGTATTGCGTCCAGGGGTGTCAGGACTGAGGTAGTTGAGTAACTTCTGCTCAGAGGGTCCGAAGGTACTCATAGTGAGCAGAGTGTTGGATGGCTGGGATGGAGCAGGCCTGTACTTGGCCCGAGGGATCATGACAGTTAGGGATCTGTCCCTCTGCTCCATGGAGCCCACAGGCATCGGCACATGCAGAGGAGCTGGCGCTGGGCCCTTAGCCTTCCTTAGCACCTTCTGTCGCTGGGCTGACATGGTCGCCTGCAGCAGAACGAAATTAGCAAATACGAAAGGTTAAAAATGCTGACATTTTAATACATTTTATCAATAGCTATGTCCACACTTGTGCGCTTTCAATTTCAATGTGCTTTTCAGCTTTAAATACAACATTCAATTCAACATGCATCAACGCAAGCGGTATTGCACTCCCCTTGAGTCATGCGTTTTAGCTGTCCACACTCATGCGTCACCTTCCTCACTTTCTAGATACCTTTCCCTAATTGGATGAAGACGGCTATTCTGATAGGAGGGATGGTGAGGCCTATTTAGTGTTAATAAAAGTTCCAAAGAGTAAGAAATCATGGCGTATAATGTAGATGAAGAAGTACTATAAAACTCAAAATTCGTTATTTTATTTTATTTATTTATTGATTTAATATCATCTCAATTAGTTTAATTTATTTTTATTTTTACTTTTTTATTAGTCCGTATGTCTTACTAACATAAATGAGAGCGATAATCTTCTATGAATTCTGAGGTTTCTTAGTTATTCAATATGCTTAAACAACTACAACACGGAAGACTTGTCAAATATGTAAACCAGTTGTCAGTTGAAACGCTTAGAAATCAAGGGCTAGTGGATCGTCTTGCGTTACGCTGTGCTCTATGGAATAGAGCTCATTTCGGGCATGCCTTGACGCATGCGTCACTTGCGTCCTACAGTGTCAGGGCATGCGTAAAATGCGCTTAGCGCACACAAAAGTGCACGAGTGTGGACATAGCTATTGACATCACACACAATAGGAGTGTAGACATCCTATGTATGTCAAATAGAATAGTTAAATGAGCCATTTACAGAGTGAGCAGCTTTTAAATAGTAATTTATTAGTTTTTTGATGATTTGGTAATATTCAATAATATTTGACATTCTAGTAGTAGGAAATGATCCCTAGTTTGGACTCAACTTGGTTAGAATGTTTTTAATGAGACAGAAATCTGTAAATTGACTTCAGCACATTCTGTTGGCTCAACTCAACCAGGATGTTTTCATAATAAAACTTGCTACAACTTTAACGTAAAACTGCTTGTCTTATCTTGATATTCAAAGATATGTGTGGTTTTCAGACTAGCTTTTGAGCCAGATGTGTCAGTTTTTTTTATGATGATCGTCCCCATTTTCTATGCTATTTCCTTGAGGTGGTTCTATGCTACCATTAGTTGCTTCTTACCAAACTTCACTACCTAGAATTATTTAAACTACTCTCTACCAGCTCATTTCCTTAAACTATATGTGAAAAAAATCTATATATATTTGTTGGGAAAATACTATTACCTACCCTACTGCCAACAAAGAAAATATGATTAACATGCTATTGACACTAAAAATTGCACACTTTTCACTGTCTATCGATATTTCTGGGTTTTATCTATTTCTTCTGTAAAGAATATACTATGGACTAAAAGAGAAGAAGAAAGACCTCCCGCCGTATTTTTGTAAATATAGATTATAGTGGTACCGTAATTAGAAGATAACTTAACAAGAAACCTGAAAATGCAACACAAGCTGGCGAAATGCATAGGGTGACACAAAAATCATACCTACTCAAGAAGACAGGCAACCACAAAATTAATTTTAATTAATTTTTCACATTAGTATAGATAACAAATCCACACAAATTTAAAATCCAATACTGTATGACAAACTATCTCACTTATTTCCAATAGAATTTCACCATACAGGGTGAGTTTTAATTGTCCCCCCCCCCAACTTTTTTCTACATTTTTCAAATATCAATCCCAGACCACTTCCAAACATTGTTGGGTAGTAAGTACTTCATTTTGACAAGGTGGTCATTTCCGGCCGCCATCTTGGATCCGCCATATTGGATGCAAAATTGTTTTTTCAAATGTAAATGTGGGGTTGTGACCCATTATTTCGAACTAGATTTTTACCCTAATTACAATGCCGCAAACTGTTTAAAAAAATCTTGATTCATTCTAAAGTTATGAGGGCTTTTTAAAACTTTATTTTTAGCCCATTTTAACATTGTGCATTTACAAACTAAGACCATAATCTCAAAATAGTGCTAGATAAAGATAAGTATACACTACCAGTAATTGTCGACCTATTTTCACTTGGTTATGACTGATGTATTTTTTTCGGCCGCCATCTTGGATCCGCCATTTTGAAATGTGATAAATTATTTTAAATATGAAGGGGGTGTTGTGACCCATCATTTCGAACTACTTTTTTAAGCTGAACTTAATTCCATGATCCGTTTTTCATTTTCATTTTTTGATTTTTAAATATTGACATTTATTACAAAAAAATTGCAATATTTCATAAATAAAACTTGATAACAAAAAATGAATTGCGGCATTGAGTTTAGCTTAAAAAAGTAGTTCGAAATGATGGGTCACAACACCCCCTTCATATTTAAAATAATTTATCACATTTCAAAATGGCGGATCCAAGATGGCGGCCGAAAAAATACATCAGTCATAACCAAGTGAAAATAGGTCGACAATTACTGGTAGTGTATACTTATCTTTATCTAGCACTATTTTGAGATTATGGTCTTAGTTTGTAAATGCACAATGTTAAAATGGGCTAAAAATAAAGTTTTAAAAAGCCCTCATAACTTTAGAATGAATCAAGATTTTTAAAAACAGTTTGCGGCATTGTAATAAGGGTAAAAATCTAGTTCGAAATAATGGGTCACAACCCCACATTTACATTTGAAAAAACAATTTTGCATCCAATATGGCGGATCCAAGATGGCGGCCAGAAATGACCACCTTGTCAAAATGAAGTACTTACTACCCAACAATGTTTGGAAGTGGTCTGGGATTGATATTTGAAAAAATGTAGAAAAAAGTTGGGGGGGGGGACAATTAAAACTCACCCTGTATAAGTTGAAAAGTAACAATATTAAATAAATAAACAAATTACTTGATTTTTTAATTACATAGATTGGTGGCAACAAAATAATTAAAAACCTATTCACATCCAACTATTGTAATTGGCTGAACTCTATTTACTAATAACTAACTCAATTACACTTATGTTCCAGAGGTAGAACATGCACAAAGAAATCCTTTGAACCATGTCTCCGGGAGTGTGAATACCAGATATAAATATGAAGTATTATTTGAGGGATGAAAGAAAACAGGAGGTAAATGTGATGCTTGGTGCTTTGTTAGTTCGCGGTGGAGAATATCAAGACAATTGTTGTACTTGTGTTGATGATGCAGCCCATCTACTCTTTCATACAATCACAGTATTCATACCTTCATTCACTATTCACTATTCTTCACTTTCCCCAACAGGGACCTTATACACAAGAAAGAGTCATCTACTTGAAGCGCTCTATGGATAATTAATCTTTTAAATGTTCAAGCCGAGTGTGGTTGTTACTAAATTGCATCTTTTTGTATTCTAGTTATGAATGTTAAAGTTTCTAAAGGTTTTTAAACATACCTAACACATATAAAATTTTATAAATGGACAAATAGTTTCATAAACCAAAAATTATCAAATGATAAAATAATAGCAGATAAATTGTAGATTGGTGTGTAAACCATGTTTTCTCATTGTTTTATTTGAATAATTTTCTGGAAGGAAATTTTAAAAAGATAATAAGCGAAAATAAGTATCAAGTCAGTTGAAAATGATTGTTTGAAGTAGAAATAAAAAGACCGTTTGTTTAGATTTTTATTAAAATAAAGCAGTACTTTATTGTTCTTGATTGAATTTATATTCTGTGAGGAAATTTTTAACAAAGAAACTGATTTCTTAAGCTGTATAAAAGTTAAAGCAAACAATTTGAAAATAACAACATTATCAAATGTACTTTATAATTCACATTTTTTACAATTTTGTGACTACATGCGTTTTCTACTTTATCAGAGTTTTTTATTCAATTTATTTATATGTACATAGTATATTCCCACTTATAATCAAAAACTTAAATTTTCCTTTACCTCAAACCCCTGTTTGTTTGGATAAATTATTTTACACAAATAAATCTCAAAAATAGTACTGAGAGAGTAATATCTTAGAGTAAAATGTTAAAATCAATATTAAATAATTATTCATTTGCATTCTAGTTAAAAGTTTACAAGTATTTAGGATCGATATGAAATAATTTTCACTGAGGAGGGACGGAATGTTTACAGAACATTTATTTGCAGCCGCTCGTTACAGAGCTCACTCCACCAACTGATGTTTCTTTGAGCTGATCACAAACTGTACTTTAATTGTTACGCCTACAGACAGAACTGTGCCAGCCCTTTGTTATTGAAGTTGGTTATTTCCTACACACTGACTGATATCCTCAATTACCTTGTAAAATGCAGCTGTGTTGGATTGAAAATTACTTTTTAATTTACAGTTTCAAAACAGTTAGTTTTACAGACCACCACTGATCACAGTGATTTATATGAGTTTAGGTACTAGAACCAAACCCTCTCCATCCATAATCATTCATGCTTCATCTTTTAGGGATGAACGAGAGGCGAATTTCATCCCCCTAGACAGTAGAGTTAAAAAACTTTCAAAGCGTAAACATAGTTTTGTGAGGTGTTTATATTTCTTTTTCCTTATTCTACAACAGAACAATCGTAATAAGGAAAGTAACTCTACAATTATATCTTAACTTATTCATTTTATTTGGTTACAGTAAAACCTCCACTAACAGTCACCCTTTAACCGTATCACTTTCTGTTATCCGTCACCTCGCTACAGTACTTAGATTGTTTTTTAATGTGGTTTTATTTCACTGTACAAACATTGAACAAGTCCAACATACAAAATATCAGTTCTGTATAAGTACCCCTCTACAACCTGTATATGTACTTTCATGTAAGTAATCTAAATATAAATGTTATACTATTTACTTGTACAGGGTTTAATTTCTTCCAAAACCTTTTAAATCAACTTACTGTATGTGTTTTTAACAGAATTTCTTCTATCCCCCTATTCGTTTAACCATCACGGTCACAAGAGCGACGGTTTGATATTACTTTATTTTGGTTATGGACTCTTGCCATGAACATTTCTGTATCTCGAGTTAAGAAATAATTCTGAATCTGATCTAATTTTTCTAATGTAAATTGTTTATTGGATGTCAAAATGTGATGAGCTGACCTGTTTGATATATGCTGGGGGCGTTGCCTCCACGCTTGTCTCACTGCTGGTGTCGCCCATGGGACTGATCATGGCCCGCTTGTCCCCCGTACCGGGTTGACTACGGTACCGCCGGAACCCCCCGCCACTTGTCCTGACAGGGGCCTCTCTACGTTTCATACACGCAAGAACACAACATACCACCAACAGCACCACCAGGCACACCCCTACTGTTACCAGGACTAGAAGTAGCACTGTGGAAAATAAATGTTTCTTATTAGTTATTAAATACATTTTTAAAATGTAGAGTTTTTACACTGAAAATGTTTGAAACTGGTTGCAAGTGTTAAAGATTTTTTTTTATATTTATGCAAGTTTTAAAATATTTAAGGTAGGTAGTTATGTTGGACATACAACATTACAAATCTTATTCTTCCAAATATTTTAAACCATTTTAAAACTAATAACCTCCCGTAAGCTTTAGCTCATGTATTTCTTCTCCAATAATATTGAACGTTCACAGCTGATACTCCTAAATTGGTAGGTTAACAATAAATATATCAATGACTAAAGATGTTTTAAAATTACATTTTCTATTGAAATCCATCACAGATTGGTGTTTACTATTAAGATTTGTGTTGACTGCCTTACTGGGAAATGGCAAGTAATATTGCATCTTTTAAATCACCTCCCTTAATAAAATAAACATTTTAGAAAAAATCTATCCTAAAGGTTGATCTGATCCCAATGGCAGGCAAATACTATTTTTCCTCTCTCTACAATACTGTAGAAAAATTCTACCTTTAAGGTTGATCTGACAGTTGGCGCCACCATACCACTGGAAGCACTCACACACCATTTCTTCGTCACTCCGTGAGTAGCACGTCCCGTGATAGTTACACCTCTCGCAACCAATCTGCTCAGCTGTTGAATGGTAAACAATGAAATATTATAGATGTCATGGAGTGAAATGCGTATCAGTAATTTTAATTCTTTGTAGTACTCCGATCTTCAGAGTAAATTTTGAACATGGGAACTCAACATTTAGAATATTCAAAGTAGAGCTTTTGTATTTGTTCTTCAATATTTTGTTACTTCTGTTGATTATTTTTTTCTTTTATAAAAATTATGGGAATTATAACTACAACATTACATTCAAAACTAAATTTTTCTAAAAATTTATTTTTGAAATTGTATGATTATTTTCGCAGCATTGCTTGAGGTAGGGCATATGAAATAACAGAAATATTTACTCAAACACTTGTAAGTCCATTTCTAATTTAAATTTGTTATCACTAAAGCATTGTTGTGTTGTATAATTACCTGCATCATCATTAATTAAACAGTTGTAGAAATAAGATATAGAACACTTATTAGAGAATTTCTTACTGTCTTTTAGGATATCAATATCACTATTTAAGTCTATATTACTAGAACAAATTATCAAAAAAGTTTTTACAAAAAACAAAATTAATATATGAAATGATCTTTTAGGAACCTGAGCAAAGTCGGCCCGGATATTGAGTGTTCGGAGACAGATCTGAGAAGCCTTCTTTGCAGCTACAAGTGTAAGTTCCCCGCAAGTTAAAGCATTGAGCGTCCTCCGAACAGTCATGGAACTTGGTGTCCGTACACTCATCAAAATCTAAAACAGGTAAGTTAATTTGTTATACAAACTGTCAAACTATTTAGACTAGAATAATTTTATTGAACTGTGGAAAAACAAACTTTGTTCCATACTATGCTTCATTATAGGTGTCATCCTGAAATAAGAGAACTATGGGAGATAGGCAATATACTTAAACTAAACACAAACTGAAAGTATTCTTTCATTCACCCATTTGGATACATCCATATGTAATATGAATTTAGTTACAATTATATGGCTCTTATTATTTTTTTCAGTTTTATACTTTTGAGTGATCAAGCTATTGAAATGTATATAGCTTAAATGAAAGCAACTAAAACGTTCAAAGTGTCGAGGAAGAGAGGAGAAGCTTTGTAGAGGGGTGAGGGTGAGGTGGAAGGGAGGCATCAGATTCAGAGGGGAAAGTCTCATTAGCAGAACCCGTCCAAGCAAGAATTAATAACTGTTTTTATTTCTGTTGGATTACTGAGCTGTGCTATTCCTAACATTACGGTAATTATAGTGAAAGTTTTTTTTTACCATTTACTTAAATAATTAATGGTATTAACATTGTTTTAGTACTCTTTATTATCTCAGTAAATGTTATTTTGTAATTTTTTTTTAAATTACATTTTAACGTTTAAACTACCTTTTCCTACAGTCACCCGACAAAGTGGGCTTCCTGGCACAGATTATAATACAGAAAGCAACTAATTGCTGCATTTACTTACTTTGCCGCACACTTTTTACTTTGTTGCACACTTTTTACTTCGTCCCACACCAGTATTCCAACCAAACAACACAAAACGTTATTATGCACGTAAACCGTTTACGCTTAGAAACACTTAAAGATACTGCGACTACGATCAGCTGGAGCAGCGTTTCCCATTTCAATGTTTGGATTTAACCTAACCTAAAAACGTGTTGTACAGTGTTTCAAAGACTAATATACTTTAAAGTAAATGTTGGAAAAATATAATGTGTAACACGAGTGCAAACTGCCTTTGCTGCACTCGAGAAACTGTTCACACTCGCCTACAGCTTGTGCGTAAACAATTCTCACGTGTGCAGCAAAGTGCCACTTAGCAAACTAGTTACAAAAATAACTATTTCATATTCATAGCACTTTGGGTTTGGGTACTTTTTAGGTCTTATGGAGTAGGGTTTATATTCAATGAGTTTACATACTGATAGTGAATTTTGTAATATGAATTGTTATGAATATTTTCACGTCAAACATCATTTCCCTATTTCATATAAGAGGAAAATTGATCCAAATAAATTTAATTTGTTTTTACCTTCAGCGAGCAAATACTGAATTTGTTCCTTGGCTGCGTAAACTTCTGTGCCTCCAAGACTGTAATTGTTACTCCTCAAAGATTTGCGTAGAACATCTTGCAGTCTTGTTTCTTCCGTGTTGTCAGACAACTGGAAAAGAGTGAAAAACCTGTTATATGTTACTTCTTCTTACTCGTACATTAATGCATACTAGACAACAATAAACATAAGTCTTTTAAGTGTTTGATATCTTAAAGGATACTGCAAGGACTAAATTAATAACATAATCATTTCAATTTGAAAATTCACAATAATATCTACAAAGATCTAAGGTATTAGTACCTGAACATAAAATCTAACAACAGCATTGTCAGGCTCTCTAGCAGGCTCAAAACCTCTGACTTCAACTCCGTGGTATATGTCTCTTAAGTCTGACTGCATCACCATCCGGTCCAGACCTTCCCTTGTGGCGTCCACAAGACGTTGGTAGGGTCCAGAGGTTGGATCCTCCAAGGGACCTTCATATCTGATATGATTCTTGCTATATCGGTCCAGAACCAACCTCATGGTGTACGTGTAAGTTGCTGAAAAAACCCAAACATTTTGGCTTATTTGTTAAATTTAAATATTTAGAAAATGTTCACCCTCATGACACTGTTTCGACTAATCTTGGAATTTTCACAAAAAACTTTGAAAAACGTTATTCATGTAGAATTTGTCATGCTTCTAAAAGTGATGCTAATGCTTTGATGTGCTGATGTGTTTCATAATGTGCATAGAAAGTAGTTATCTTATTCGAACATATTTAGCTTGCTTTTCCTCTGATCAATTAATATCAACATTTTTTTATGCTAAAATACTATTAAAATAGAATTGCAATGTAAGTAAAAAAAATTTTTACCTTACAGTAGAAGCTGGAATTAATTTAACTAAAGCTTTCCTATAGTTATAAAGTAGAATGTGGAGAACCAACATTTTATACTGTCAGAACCAACTACAGAGGCAAAATAACTTAACCTTTTATCGCCATAGGTGTGATTGAGAAACAGCTATTAGAAATGTTTTAGACATGACTTAAAAAACAGAGCTAAAAAAGAACAGGTAGAGTTATCATATTTTAAAATGTATAGGTACTTACGTTTGCAAGGTCTGTCTGGGAACATTCTAGCAAATCCTGGACGGCAGACACAACGCATCACGTTGTCAATCTTTTGGCAAAGCTCATTCCTTGATGCCTTGCACTCTGGTCTGCATTCAGAGTCTGATGAATGGTGGGTGAACACGTTTCCAAGCAGAACATTTGGGCTAATCTCATTTGCCTCGTCTGGAACCTGGATCTCAGGAGGTGGTCTGTTGTCTGGGATTGGCACAGTGTGGATATCTCCCATACCAGACTTTTTGTCAGTCATTACCACAAATATTGACTCGTTATCATGAGGATCATGTGCTGGCTTATCTTCATGCCTATCCTCAGGTTCATGTTTAACCACTTCTACATCACCTTTAGGATAAACTTTGGGATACTCTTCGGTTTCAACAGTGCCAGTGTACACAGTCGAGGTAGCTTGAGGTATCGTTGTTGTTACTGTTGATAAGATGCTTGTTTGTTTCACCAATGTGTGTACTTCCGTCACTGTGTCAAGAAGCGTTGAAGTTTGAGTTTTAGTTACAACCAAGGTATGTGTCGATGGTTCTTGACCCTTACTGTGCACCACAGTTGTTTCTGTTGCGGTTACAGTTGTTGTTTGAGTGTGAGTAACAACAAATGTTGATGGAGGTGGAGCTGTCACTATACCATCAGATTCTTCCAGTTCATCTTCAAGACCCTCAACTGTCAACACTATTTTGTGGTGATCTTTGTTTTCTTTAACATTTTCCACTTTGCCACTAGACTTTGTTTGATTTTCTCGTGGTTCGACTACTACGCTTATCACAGAATGGTGACTTTGACTCGTCTTAGTTGGCTTGATTACTTTTGTTGTCATTGTTGGTCTTGTGAAAAGATTACCAAAGATAGTTGTAACCCCAGTTGTAACCAATACAGATGATGGCTTATTCTTACTAATGCTTGGTCTTGAATCATCCTTGACTGGAGTGGCAAAATGATGATTTTCATCTAAGATTGTTTCAGAGCCCACAACAAATCCGTCTTTCCAATCCGCCGAGATGTTTGTTGTTTCAACAGCTGTTGGTTTAATTATAATTTCTGGCATCATATCTGTTACAGGTACTGGTACAGGCTTACCCACAACAACTGTTTGTAGTGAAGGCTGTGATCCAGTGATTTTAATGTTTCCTTCTGGCTTCAGTCGGTGACCGTTAATGACGTTTGTCAGTACAACCTTGGAATCAGCAGTGATTACCTCGGGCTGTTGAGAATGTTCTTCCACAGTCAACACCCCTTTTAGTACTGGATTGATAGAGTCTTGTTGTGGAACTATTATAGTATTTGAATCACTTTGCGGATTCCACTGCTGTTGTGGCTCTGTATTTTCGTTTGATGTAGGTCTTTTTTGCACCGCTTTGAGGAAGTAGTCTTCCTCGGGTTTCGATGGTGGAGGTGACAATGTTTCAGGAAGCATAGGTGGTTCAAGTTTTGGTGGCAACGTCGATCGTGGTGGTTCTTGGTTAGGTTGAAGGTGAGGGATTTCAAACTTGTAAGGAGGAGGTGGCTTTGGTTTTCTTTGAGGAAGTATTGGCCTTCTTAGAGGATTTCCAAGAGTAAGAACAGGTCGAGGTGATGTGTCTTCATGAACTGTATACATGTGTTGTGGAGGAGGAGGCGAGAGTCCAAGGACTGAGTCATCCTGTTGAGAAGTTCTATCAAACTGACTCTGAGATGGACTTGGAGAACTAAATGGCCTTGGAATGTCACCTTGAATCATGGATTCAACTTGTCCAGGGTTCTGAGGTGGTGGTGGTGTTTCAAACATAGGTGGAAGTGGTAGTTTCTCATCTAGATTCATGGTTTCCACTGTGTTATCACGCACCGGTTTTGGTTGCTTCTTATTCTCATAGTAAACTGGTTCCACCACCATTGGTTTTTCTTCATGATGATTCCCAATGCCAATAGCAGCAAATAGGGCTGGGTTTAGGAAATTACCACTGACCGGTCTGTCATTTGAATTTATGGTTCCCTTTTCTTCTTGTGGAAACACCAGTGATCCATCGGGTTTAAGTTTTGTTGGGGAGCCAACGGCTAGTGTTGCTTGGGATTTGTCAGTAAACTGATTCACACCAGGTCGCCCATTGATGATAGGAGCTTGATTGTTGATACTTGAAAGACCATCAAGCTGAACCGGTTTTGAGTTTACGACTGAAAAGTTAATATCTCCTTCAGGCCTTGCTAATCTATCTGGTCTGTTTTTATAGTTAGTATAATATTCAGAGTTGGTTTTCCTATCATCATCGATTGGATCTATAGGCATACTCGTTGATGGATGAGATGACAACTCTGGGGGAAGTTGACCCGGTCTCAGTGGTCTTGGGTTGGACTCTTGGATTACTTCTCCACCATCTTGGTCATCTGGCTCTTCTCCGAACACATATTCATCTTCACTAGGTCTTCCGTGAGTCGGAGGCGGAGGTGGTGGTTTTAAGTACTCTCCTAGACCTGGAGCATAGTCCTGGCCTTGATTGGTAACATCAGTAAAGTAATAGTCTTGATTAACAATTTTATTATTAGTGTTTATCGGTATAGGTCTTCTTTCATTTTGGTCATGACGATGTGCTTGATGATTTTGTTGGTCAGGTTTGAATACTTGTTGATTTCCAGCAGCAACATTGATCCCATGAGGTGCAACTGGCACATCCAGATTGTTGGTATTTATTGGTACTCTAGCCTCGTGTGTTATGCCTTCTCCCTCTGGAGCAGGTCTTGAAGTACTCAAGGCATCAACCACATGGTCTACTACTGCATCAGGATACGGAGAAGGGTCATTGAATATTTCACCCTTTTGACTATGCTCCCCACTGTAAATCAATGCTGTAGAGCTACCGTGAGGTATTATTACGTTTGCCACTTGAGATGGTTGAATGTTGACTAGAAGAGGATTGACAGAAGACTGATCTACAAAGTCAGTATTGTCTGGTAAGAGGATTGGTGCTTGCTGAATTGGACCTACATGATCTTTCTGGCTGTTTATTGAATTGAATGTTTCGGTATCTGAGTGAACAGTTGGTCTAACATCAAAATTGTTATTGGGGATGTTATTGTAAACTGGAATATTCTGTTGAGGAGGATAATATGGCTTATTTGTTTGTTGGTAGTTAACATTGCTCGGTTCTTTTCGTGGTGGAGGAATAAAGAATTCATTATGATTGAATGGTCTATTATTATTATTATTAGCCAAGGGATGTTTCTTAAAGTTTTCAGGATGTTTGAAAAACTCAGGATTGAAGTTGATTGTATCATAGTTTTGAAGATGTTCTTTGATATTCTTATATGGAGGCTCACGAGGAAGAGACTGACGGTGAGGTGGATCTCTAGATGAGTGATGAGCAAGTGGTATGTAATGACCAGTATGATCTCTCATTGGCCAATTTGGTTTGCGTTTTGGCGGTGGAGGAGGTTTCATCCCAATAGGTGTGTCATCTTTCCTGTATGGTTTAGAGTCTAGAACTGGAGGCCTCGGTCCATGAACAGCAGGCCTTCCAATGATGACGTCACTGTTTGCTGTGATTACTTGTCCAGGACTGATAGGAATTCCTCCAGCCAAAAGAGGACTCTCCATTGTTGGTCTGCCTACCACTACAGTCAGTTTATTTCTTTGGTTTGTGTCTGGGAAAACATTATGTCCCTCTAAGTTTTGGCTTTCCTCGGCTACAGAATCTGCTGCCATTCCTCCAACAGGAATGTATATTGGTGATCGAGCTGGTGGGGGTTTTGGGCCAGCGTAAGTCAATAGAGGATTCTTTTTGAACTGCATATCACTAGGTTCATTTGCATTTACTCCTAAAGTATCATTCCTTCTCCTCTGTTCTGATTTTAGATTATTTTTTATCAACCCAGCCATGGCATTGATCACTGGCCCTAAGGCATTCAAACTGTTTATTCCCAGAGACCCCAAACTTAGTAGATTACTGACTGCCGAGTTGGTTCCTGAGACTTGAGTTCCGTCTGGGTGCTTACTAACTGGATCTGATACTGGTATGATGGACACATTTCCATTCGGATCCTTAAACTTTATCACTTGAGCTCCTGGCATAATAGTTGCCCCGTTCTTTGTAACAGTTGAGCTTGCTAAAATAGATGTTTCATATGTTTGTTGAGACTCATCCGCTTCCGATTCTCCAGAAGTTAATGTTAGAGCTTGTGACTCAGCTGCTGATAGGAATTCTGATTGCAAATTTTCAGTGTTCGGTTCTGTACTTTCATGGTTTTCTGCATTTGTGGGTTGGTTTGCTTTGGTGTGACCAGCAACATCCACCATTAAAGTCCTCGTTGTGGTTGGTGTAACATTATCAATTTGGTCATTTTCATCAAAAAATATTATTGTTGAACCAGTAATAACATTGTTGTTAGACGATGTTTCTTCAAAGGATGAAGATAGTTCAGGTGATGCAGTCTGTTTTACAGATTGTTCTCCAAATGCTGTGATTTCCATCTTTTGCCCATCATTTAGAGTTGCTGTTGCAATTATTGGCAAACCATCACTCTGCAAGGAGCTTCGAAGGGATGACAAATATTCAGAGTCCAACAAATCTGTGTTAAGCGTTTCAGTTACAATATTTTGAACAACGTTGGTTCTTGAACTGACAATGGTTGAAGGTTTCCCATTGTTGTCTTGAAGTAACGTTGTGAAGTATGTGAATGTTGTAAGATAAGTTTTAGTGGCTAAGACATTTATTGGGCTTTCAGATGTGGACACAGATTCTGGAGCCCTTGTGGATGTAATTTTCTCTTTGACATTTTCTGATCCCTCTGGATTTGTACTTGTCCTTTTTGGTGGTATTACAAACTTCTCCGTGACTACATCAGAGGATGTTGCCACCTCAGAATGAACTATAGTATCCTCTCCATCCAGCATTGTACTGAAGTATGTGTAAGTTACAAAATATGTCTTTACTATATCTGTTGTTAAAGCTGTGGGTTTGATCTCGACAGAGGATGCTTTGTTATCACTTTCAGTGATTATAACTTGGGTCATCACGTCCTCTGTACTGACTATTTTGAAGTCTGCACCATCTGCAAGTGTTTTTGTGAAAGAAACTGGAACAAATAACGAAATAATTAGTTTACACAGTTAAAAATTATAGTTATTGTTAACTATGAAGTATGTCATAAGTACTGTATTTTATTAATTTGCTAATGTAATATTAAAAATGAAACAATAACTCGTTTCCCTTTCATAATAGCCCTGCCAAAATCATACTTTTATCTGGCTGTAAATGTTATTACATGCAATTAAAAAAAACTATTTTCTTTGGTATTGCTAGTAGCTTTACAAAACTTACCCTTCCTTTCCTACTTCACAATGTGTCTGCTACAATCATTTTTGGAATATTAAAAAAAGCATTATTGAAAAAGTGTGGTCTTTAAAAAGAAAAGAAATTCTTTTTGGCAAACATTCAAATTCAAATATATTTATTTATTATTATTAGAAAAATCTTTATTGTTTCAATATTACATAGAAATGTACAATTGAGAAATATAACAGCACACGAAACAATAACCACCAAGGTTAATCAACCTGATTTTGGTGGTCAATATTTAGGATATAACAAGCATGGCCTCGCCAAGTGTACAAAACTTGTCGGAGAGGACCAATAGATTAAAAAACATGACAAAGTTTACAGATTTTTCTCTTTATTCTTTAGTTTTGTTTTCTAAGTACATAGAATTATGGAAACTAGTTCTAAGGCGGTTTGTGGCAGGCACTTATTAATAGCAAGAGTGTTTTTGGCAGCTAAACTTAATTCTTAACATTAGAATAAAGATAATACTTTTTTGTGAATATCATTAAACTTTTCATATTATTTGATAATTACTAAGAATTACTATTCTTGCAATGAGTTCTTGAACCTGTTGATAATCCTAATTATATCTTGTATTAATACCAATTTGACAAATAATTTATGTATAAATGTAACTGGCTCTTTTATATGTCATAGCATTTAGTTTATAGCTTGTGCTGTACCAGTGTTGAGATAGGTGTTGGTGTCTTGTCCTGGAGGCTCTGATGGTTGGAGAAGATCCTCTGGTGCTGTCACAGTGTTGGAGACTACCCTCTTCGAGGTCAACACTAGAGGTATCTCCCCATCCACCAGGGTATTCAGATACGTGTAAGTTGTATGGAAAACCCCTGTTGCCAAACTTGGACTTGCTGTCAAAGTCACCTTTAGAAAAAGCATACATAAGGAATGAGAATATACATGAACATTTTGACTAGAGTTATTTCACCCTAATGATCTTTTACTTATATATAAAATATTTCTGAAACTATTCAGCATATAGTTGAAGCAATACACAACATTTTAATATCATTATCGTAAATCTTTTCTTTAATCATAGCTCACTCCCTTTTTATTTCAATGATCCTCCTCATAACCAGCAAACACCTTATTCATATAACATCCCTTACAATTAATCTACACCACCTAATCTTCATCCTAAAGTCATTCAAAACCATCTAAATTCTCCACAGATTATTGTCATACATTAAAATAATTTCCCTTGTCAAATAATCACCATAATAATCACCAAATAATCACGCTTTTTTCGCAGTAATAATTATTTTTACTATTTTTTTTAGAAAAAAAAATTATACTCAGACCTTATAATAGCAATGTACCTCAATACTCTTGGCTTTCACAACTATTCTTTAACTACACCGTGATAACAATAATTAAAAAATTTAATGTTCTTGCACACTTCATTGCATCATTTTCTTATCTAATATAGTACATGCAGTATTCAGGTCCCCCATAAATTTCTGTTGCATTTCTTCATCTTTTTGAGTGTTTTATCCTTTACAGTATCCAAACACTTTTACAGTGCCCAGCAGTTTTGATCTTATTAACTACTGTTCTTCACCTTGGTAACATAGCAAACGCTATGCTTCACCTTGGTAACTTAACAACCCCTGTGTCTCGCCTTGTTAACTTAATAACCCCTGTGACTCACCTTGGTAATGTAAAAACCCTTGTTTATCCCCTTGGTAGCTTTACAACCCCTGTGCCTCACCTTAGTAACAGGTGTTGGAGTGACTGCCACAGAAGGTCTCCTTTCCTCAGTGACTACGTTTGAGACTACCTCCTCTCGGCTGGACACCACCGTTTCCCCTCCCTCAAGTAGGGTGGTTCGATATGTGTACGTTGTCAGGTAAGTTTTAGTTACTAGCTCTTGAGTCTCCTACAAGATTGAAGATTTGGATGTAAAAGATTTAACACTGTATGTATACAGTAGCTTCAAAGTTATAGTAATTTCAGTGTATTGTAAATCAGCACCTTTGCAATGAAATATTCTTCCAAATTTTGAAAGGATTGAAATACCCTCAAAATTAAACACATATCAACTAGAAAACAACACATGAGTTCTACACTTTTGAATTTATCTAGGGTGGTCAAAGTGCCTTGTTAACATTTGAATGGGACTTAATTTCTTCAGTTTTAGGTTATTCAACTTAAGTTGAGAATTTAATGATTGTAAATGGTAAAGTATTGTACAATCCATTGGTTATCTTTTATAGAGGTGTGTAAACTCTTACCTGGTTGGAGTCTTGAGGAAGCAACATCATCATCGTGTCTGTGAGTGTGCTCGGAGCTAGCGTGATTGGACGTGTCAGACTGGAGGGTAGCCTTCGCAGAATGTCTTGACCTGGCATAGTTGTGCGATCGCCAGCCACAATCACTTCCACCCCATTACTCATCTTCTTTGTTGCCAACTGGAATGCCCTTCCTTCATCTAATGCTGTTGCTAAATTGTACAAAGAAAAGATCACAATGAAATTCAAAGAACACTATAGGATAATATTTACCGTGACTGAAGCTGTAATCTATTTGAACAAAATCTATCGTTATAAAAAAACAAAATTGTCTTCTGTACTTTCACAAGAGGTTCTCATCCTTTCCTTTGAGGTGAACTTATAATAAAAGTTAACAACCCTTGTACTAGTGTTGACGGATCTGTTAAACAATCTCAATAGTGTAAATGTTTCTCCTATCCTCCCCATATTTTTCTTGCTTGTTCAAGAAAAGCTTTAAGTGAAAAGTGTGGAAACTCTAGAAAATGAAAATTATGTTTAATGTTTAGTTAGTAACTGTTGAGGGTCAATTACATTTTCTCCGTCAGAAGTTACTTGATACATTTACTGACAATCGTAACAGACTGAGTTGTTAAAAGTTTTGATTAATTGACAAAGCAAAACATTTAAAAAGAAAATTCATAGTTATTTTGAGAGAAAAACAAATATAAACTGGAATATTTTGAAATAGATACAATAATTGTAAATACCCTCACTGCAGCTAATCTGTAGACTAAGTGAATTTCCATTTGACTTATTGGGCTTTCACTGGAATATGCCCTTAAGTAAAATGTTTAAATTAAGTTAGGGTTTTAAAGTTTAAAGTTTAAAGTTCGGGTTTTTAAAGTTAGGGTTTTTGGAAATTTTGCTGTAACCATTGATTGTACAACATTGCATACTAAATTGTTATTTATTTTTTAAATCTTTACAAATTTATAAAGAAATTGCGAAATGTCATGTTTTAAGTGTGAAAATGGAAAAACTTATTTTTATCCCATAAACCCCCATATAATAGGCCCCTACTGTTCCCATAGTTTGATTATACTGTTTTGCAAACTTGTTTGAATGAAACGGAGACTTACTTGTTTGTACCAAATTTGATTACAATCAAATGATTTTAAGTAAAATAATTTTGCTAACAGACATACATATTTATTCATGAATTTGAACAGATGGTATTTTTGGCCTCAGGGGACATCCATATGAGAAAGAAAATTAGCACCCGGTCTAGGTTTTACCATGAGACCTACGGTAAAAGTAATTACCTGTATAGGAAATTTGCTAAAACTAAAATTAGGGATAAAGTTTGAGATTGCCAAGACTTATTAAAAAAAGTACCGGTTTAAATTACAAGGACTCAAAAAGGAAAGGCTTATAAATGGCATAAAAAATATATAAATTATGTATATAATTTGATATGTTTGCTGGGAAACCAAAATTTCAACAACTTATTCATAATTCCAATTACCACTAGACCTATCAAAGTATGTCAGAAAAGGTTTAGAAAAGTTGAAAGTACATTCAATTGTTTTTACAATGTGTATGTAAAATAATACTGAAAGTGAGACAAGAAACTTTATTTATATAATACAATTTACCAAATACCACATTGATGAGGTGGAAGAAACAAAAATCAAACAGAGCTTAAACTGTACAACAGAGAAGAAACAGGAAGAAGAATCTCACCTGAATCAGTATAGGCCAGGACTGGAATAGTGAGTGTGAGCGTCTTTGTGGCAGGTTTGACAGAGGTAGAAGAGGTTATTATACTTTCGTTCCCACTAACTCGGGTTACAACATAAGTGTAAGTTCGGAGTCTAGTTGAAGTAACTATGGTTGTTAGATAGGATGTAGGAGTAACAGAAATTTCAGGAGAAACAGATTCCATAGGTTCACTGAGAGAGGGTTCGACCAGTGCTGGTGTGGTATGTACCTTTTCCTCTAAACCATCGGACATTGATTGTTCTATCGGCAGATTTGAAGTAAATAGACTATCAGATTTTATAGGGGAAAAAGTGTTCAGAGTTTCTTGTGAAATAGTTGGCTTAATTTCTGAAGGGATAAATTCGCTTACTGAAAGTTCTTGTCCTTCAGACTGTACAAGAGAGGAGGTTCTTGTCTCAAGGAGAGCAGTTGAAGTAGTAGAGATAGTTGTTGTGGGGTTGCGTCTTCTTGTTCCAGGGTAGCCAGTTATAATTCTGGAAGGTTTTCTTGTCACAGAAGACTTTGTTGGCCGAACAAACTTTGGCGGGTTTTCAAATTCGAAATGTTCTTGAGTCTGAACAGGAGCTTCGGACACTTTGTACTCTGTAATATCTGGTGCAATTGATTTATTGTTTATTTCTTCAGCAGCTGAGTTAAGTGCACTATTGCCAGTTATGTGTCCATTTTCTTCCTTTACACTCTCCAGTTCTGATTGTTCCCTCGACTCTTCAGTAACAGGTTGTGAATATTCATTATCTTCAGCAAAAGAAAGTTCAGATTTGACAACGCTACTGACTGTTGCAACATTTGATGGTATATTGGACACAGTAGGTGTGATATCAATAATTATGCTATCTGTTGGTTCATAAAACCAAACAATACTTTCTTGAATGTCAGAGTTATGGTTTTGACCACTTAAGTTAGGGTTGTATTGCAAACGAGGCTCATTTTCATCATCTACTTCCTCAGTAACGTCCTTCAGTCCTAGTTCAGAATTTACTTGCCATTCTTCAGTTCTATCATCTTCATCATTGTAGTTTGTGTCGTCAATTGTCTGTTCAAAATTGGTGTTCAGTGTAGGGTTCTCATAGTCATAATCTGTTTGCAAGTTCAAGAAAAAATTTGAGAATATTGTTGCTGGGGTTTCAGGTGTAATTGGCTCTTCAGTTTTAGTTACAGGCCTTTTTTTAGTAACTTTTACTCTTCTTTTTGTTGCTGCTTCAACTAAACTCGGTGTTGGCACTGGCCGTCTTCTTGTTACCAGCACCTTCTTTCTTCTAATCGCAGGTTCAATTGAGGGTAATTTTTCAGTTGAATAAATTTGTCCACCATCTTGATTGTATGTATCTGACAGTGGTAATGGATAGCTATCTTCATTGAATGTACCGGCAGCACTGTGGATATTTTCATCATTAAAATTGCTTTGAGAACCATAACTGTTTTCAGGTTCAACGGAACTGACAGGACGCCTTCTTCTTACCGCAACTCGTCTACGTGCTGGTACGGCTTGTTCAGTGGATGTTTCTATAAAATCTACTTCTTCATTCTTTGGACGTTTTCTTATGACTTTTATCTTTTTAGTTCCGAAATCTGACAGGCTAGAAAGAACATCTTGGGTTTGTAAAATGTCTTGATGTGTAACATCATGAGATCTCTGAGCTTCTGATGGAGTCAAGTCTTCATCAATATTTATTCTCCTTTGGATTGGTACCCGAACCTTTACTCGTTTTCTTCTTGGTTGGTCGAAATTTGTGCCATCAACCTGACGTTTGATTCTTACTGATTTGTTATGCCTTAAAAAAATAGAATCGTCTGTATTCTTTATTGTTACTTTGCTCCAATCGAATTGGTTGCCTTTCCGCTGACTTGGAGCAGTTTCAGCGGGGCTTTTGGATAAAAAATGACCGGTAACTTTCTTAATTTTTGATGGAGAGGCTTTTGAGTCTTCTGTTGATTGATCTTGACTACTCTTTGAAGGCTTCGCTATTATATACTCTGTCCTAAGCTTTGACTGATCTGTTGTTAAATATTTGCTAACATCGCCTACAATACTCTCTAAACTTTGAGTTTCTACTTCACTTTCTTCAACAGGAACTTCGTTTAAAGCTGACATAACATAATATCCTAAATAGTTATCTTCTGGGATTGAAAATGAACTGCCTATTTCTGGTATTTTTGAAGATTCAACCTTGTAGTTTTCTATATCATCAACTATATATTCAGCTTCTCGTTTGCGTAGTGTGACTGAACTCTCTTCTCCCAAAGTTACGGTTGACAATATAGTACTGAAATCACCAGGTCTTCGACCTGATACATACAAGGTTATGACACTTGTTTCTTGTATCACTGGAGGTGGGGACTCTTGTGGCTTTTTATTACTATTTTTAGATTTGACCTTTTTCCGTGTTTTTTGTTCTGGTTTTGGTTGTTCTACTATTTCATCAACTTCAACTTCCATTGAAGATGTCTTTTCGTCTTCTTCAACTGGTCTTCTTCTAGAGACAAACCTCTGAGAAGGTTCATCTACTTGTAACTTTTCTTCTTGGATATTCAAGATGTCTTGCGGAACTATTTGTTGTTGAAGTGTTCCCAACAATGGGTTAATGGTAGGCTGAGGAGGAGAAAGTAATTGAGCTTGTAGGAGTGCAGGCAACAACAAAGAATTGATCTGCTGAGGGTTGTTAGCTATTGCTGCAGTGGGAGTGACAACAACAGTCTCTGTCAAATATTCAGTAGCTGTAATGACTTGAGTTGAGCTATCTACTATAGTTGTCAAAATTTCTTTTCCTCTAAAAGTCAAGGGTAAAACGGTAGATGTATGGTCTGTTACAGTTGTTACATAAGTAGTTGTTTTAGTTTTAAATTCTGTTGTTGGTGTTGGTGGGACGACTTGTTGGTTTTGTAGACCCAGAAGAGGATTTATTTGTTGTGGATTTGGCTGAAGATTCAAATTTCCAAGAAGAAGTTGAGATAACAGAAGATTTGCAAGAGGTGCATTTGCTGCTATATCAGGTTGAACAGTACTGACTTCTTGCCTAACGTCATAAACAGTGCTTGGGACAATATGTGAAAAAGACGTTTTCCTCCCCCTTAATGTTGTTGGTGTGAATGTGATACTTGTAGTTGGGGTCTCATAAACGACAAATTTGGTAACCTCCATTACTCCATTAGGAAGTGTGCTCGTTATATCACTTGTCAACTGAATTACTATATTTCCATTCTTAGCAGTTGCTGTAGTGTATTGATGAGGTCCTAATATTTCTAAGCTAGGTTTTGCTGTAATAACGTTTTTGTACTCCGTTACCTTACCATTTATTACTGGAATAGTAACTTCTGTTGGAACTTGATGTGTAACAGTTATTGTTCCATCAAAACTGGAAGGGGAAAAAGAATATGTATCAAAGTCAGTATTGTCACGATACCTTGATCTAGTTGAGGTTCTTCCTCTACTAGTGAATCTTCTACCACTGTTTCTTGAGTTGTATGATGTGTCTTGTTGAGATGTTGTTTGAGTTCTAAGCCTAGGAGGTTTTGGCCTCTGAACCGTAGTTGTTTCGGAAGTTGATGTTCTCCTTCTTGATGTTGGCCTTTTGAAGTCGGTCCTTGCTGACTGAGACGATGATTTATCTCTTAAAGTAAATTGAGCTCTTGAAGCAGTTGATGAGGCTTTAGTTGGTCGAACTCTTGGTTGGGTTTGTGCTGTTTGTCCTCTTGATCTAGGTGTATATCTATTTGGCGATCGAGTTGTGGGAGTTTCTGGCACAAGTGCTTCAGTATCATCCACATAGTAATCAACGGATGGAGTTCTAGATGTTGGTCTTTGGTATCGACTCTGATATCTTCTGGTACCATATTCAACAGCTTGCCTTTTTGTCCTAGAACGTCTGAATCCTTGGAATGGTCTGATTTGAACTGTGTTTAAGGCTTTACCTCTACGGTCTGTTTTTGTTGATTCTGTGGTTGAAATGGGTGTTGTTTCATTTGAATGCTGGGACTCCGAATGTTCAGAACCCTCGTAATCATTATCTGCAAAATCATTCTCTTCATCCAATTTTGCATCATTTTGATCAGTTTCATCTATTTTGTCATCCTCCTTTTCCTCGGCTTCTTCAGCTGGAGTTGGCTTCCTCAAAAGACCCCTTGGAGGGAATAGGCTATTTGATGGCCTTTGACGATTTCTTGGTGGAAATGTTGGGACTGGTCTGTTTCTGGTGGGTGTTACAGGTGTAGTTGCTGTTGCTCCCCTGCTATCAGGTCTGCGAAGTAAATTACTTCTGCGAGCTGGAGTGGTGGAAGGCTTAGGAGTGGTCGTAGTTGTTGACCTAGGCTGTAATATTGGAGGCCTTCTAAATCGAAGTAATGGATTATTACTTCGTCTAGAAGATTCGGTAGTAGTAACTGGAGGCGATGTCTCATGTTCTTCATCTTGAACAGTGAAAAGTGAATCTTCAGTTACAACTGTTGTCCCACCAATGTCATTTGTATTTACAATATCTTCAGTAGTGGAAGTCACCGTCTGCAGAGGTCTGCCAGGCCCTGACGACACTGTTGGTCTTATTCTAAATCTAGAACTTCCAACAAGGGGAGAAGAATTACGCTGGGCTGATGATGTTCTGTAGTTAAAGGATCCCCGTCTTGAGTTGGAACCAAATGAAGCTGTTGCTGTCGGGGATATTTTGGCACTTGACCTTCCTCTGTAATTGCTTTGGCTAGAAGATGCTTGACTAATACTAACTGTAGGGCTTCCTCGTCTTCCAGAAAATCTTCTTCCGGAGGATGCAGAAGCTGTAGCTTGAATAACATTTGAAGAGCTTGTTCGTCGACCACCTGAGAATCTATTTCTGCTTGATCCAAACCCTCTCTCACTTGACTTTACAGCTGGAGTTGCAGTTATTGTTGGAGTGAATGCATTTCTTGTAATTGTTGTTGCACTTCCGACGTCTCCTGTCTTCTTTTTTGGTAAAAATGTCGGACGTGGCCTCGAAGCAAAAGGTCTTATGACAGGAGTAAAAGTTTTCTTTCTACTAGAAAATGAAAGCCTGGATTTACCTCTTCCTTTTGAGCTGTCATCATCATATTCATGTTCGTTATCTTCATTATCTTGATCTGATTCATCACCGATAGAGCTTTCAATAACAGCTGGTGAAGGCGATGTTGATGCAGTTGCAGTTGGGTTTATTGCTCCAACATTTGACACTGACGAAGCAGATATGCCAGGGACTTGTGTTGGTTTCATTTCAACTTTGAAACTAGATGTACTTTCTATTATTTGGGCATACCTACCATCTATTAAAGTTCCTATAACTCTTGATTCATAAAAAGTTGTAGTTTTATCTTTTACAATGGACCCCTCTACTAGTCGGACTAATCCCGTTCTGTACGTTTTAGAACCAACTACAGTTGTTGATGGATCAAGAGATGGAGTCGCTGTTTTCCTTTCTTCATCTATTTGGACCGATGATGTGCTTTCAACAACTTGAGCGTACAATTTGTCAACATAAGTGCCAATAGCCTTTGTGGTGAAAAAAGTTGTACTTATACCATCAGCATCAACTATCTTCCCTTCGTTAATTGAAACTATGCCGGTAGGTTGAGTTTCTGGTGTCACCACAGAGGTTGATGATGGAGAAACTGTCGGTGAAACAATTTGTGTTGAACTCTCCAATATCTGAGCGTACAAGCCATCAATGTAAGTTCCAAATACATCAGTAGATAAGAGTGTTGTGATTCCGTTATTAACTTCACTTGTTCTAATTGTTGATATGAGACCTGTTGGCTTTACATTGAGGCCTACAGAGTTTTGAGTAGCATTTACAGTATCGTTATTTTTATTTTCATCAGAATCTGTTGAGCTAGTATCTTTACCCTCAGGCACCTCTGCTGTAGGAGTTACAATATTGGTTACAGTTTCTAAACGACTATTTAACACAGTGCTGTTACCTATATATGAAGTGGTAAAGTAAGTGTAGGTTGTATAAAATGTCGTCGGTTCTAAGTCGAGTGTTGAAGTGGTAGAATTTTCTTTATAATTTATCTTGACTTCATCATTGTTATCGCCACTTATTCTGTCTGGAAAGTTACCTGGGGTAGTAGGCGATGGTGTTATAACTATTGGATCTGTTGTTGTTTCTGTTCCACTAGAATCAAGCTGCTTGGGCTCCAATGTGGAGTCAACAGAATTTTCACCAACTATAGAGGTGAGAACGGTTGGAAGAACGAGCTTTCTTTCTGTGGTCGGAGTTATTTTAATACTTTCTGTTTTCTCCATATCTTCTACTGTAGGCGTTACAATATTTGAAACTGTTTCCTCTCTGCTTGTCACCATAGTACTTCCATCTTTATACAATGTAGTCCAATACGTAAAAGTAGTAAAGTAAGTTATAGGAAGCGTTGCTTCCTCTGGACTTAGTGATTCTTCAATATCTGATGGTCCCAGTGTCTCAGTTACAACATTTGTGACTGTGTCCAGCCTACTGATGACATCACTAGTTGTGCCCTTATAGACCGTTGTGAAGTAGGTAAAAGTGGTGTAACTGGTTTGCAACAATATTGTCGGTGAAAAAGATGGCTCGATTTCTTCTGTGTTACTCTCTGAAGTTATTTGATCGTCAGGGTCATCATAGCTCTCTCTGTATACTTTTCTACTTCCACCGGAACTACTACTAGTGACATCCACTACAACAGTTTGGAGAACATCTGAATCTTGAGGTGAGGAAATTCCTAAAAGTAATTTTTCCTCCTTTGAAAGCTCTTTGTCACTTTGATCATCATCTTCTTGGTTTGTCGTTGAATCTTTATTGCTTGGATGACCACGAGACATTGTGGTGTCGTATTTGTAAGCATCATCAACATTTGACGCTTGAATGCCTATTTGTCCATAATAAGACTCAGATACTGGTGCAACCTCATTGTCTTTTACTTTAGGCCTCAAAATAGTTTTATCATAGACTCTTGTTGGACTTGCTTTTAGTGACAAGACTGTGTTGGCTTCTGGCAAATCTTCTGGTGATTCCACTTGTTCGTCAGGCAACACCGATACATAATCTGAGCTAAAAAGCTGAACCTGTGAGGTAGGTTTAATATTGGATATTACTCCACTTGGTGTAACAATATTTGTATAAACTTCTGTTCTGCTTTCAACCTCTGTTTCACCATCAACAAATACAGTTGTGAAATATGTATATGTAGTGTAAAATGTTTTATATCCATCTTCATTTATCTCGTTTACACTGTCCAGACTTGGGGTTGCACTTTGCAGCTCCTTTACTACATCTACAGATTCCAGTGTTGAAGCAAAAAGGTGATCATCGTCAATAGCATCCGAATCATCAAAGTACTTAGTTGTGGGCCTTCCTATTCCCACACTCGTAGGAACAACATCCACAATTTCTGATGGTGAAAGAACATTTGTTGATTGACTTTTTTTGAACAGCCCTGCAATAGCAGGGTCTGCTGCAAAGGCATTATCTAGGGTAGTTGTGACAACGTTTGTTACTACCACTTCTCTGCTGGACACACTTGTGGACGACTCCTGGAAAAATGTTGTTAAGTAAGTGTATGTTGTGTACAACGTTTTGAATATAAGATCTACCTCTTCTTCTTGCACTTTCGGTGTTGTTGGGGAGAGAGTAGTTTTATCATCCTCTCCTTCTGTTTCCTCTTCTGTTGTTGTCACCATTGGTACTGTTGTTATGTCTGGACTTGTGATAGGTATTTGCGGAGTAGTTCCTTCTGTTTTAGCTTCTTCTGTGACAATGGTGGTTTCCTCTGGAGTTGTTGTTATAACTGATTCTGTTGTGATATCTGAAGGTGCTACTGTAGGGCTTACTGTACTTGCAACCGCAGGGTCGATTAATTTTGTAACGTACATAACATCTTCAGAAGTGACTTCTCTTGATTTTATGGATGTCGTCTGACCACCATTTTCGTCAGGTATAAAGAAAGTTGTCAAATAAGTAAATGTCTTATAAACTGTTGAAGGAACAATTCTTGTAATGTATCCAGGTGTGGACTGTTGATTATTATATTCGTCTTGGACTATTGTTTGTTCTGGCCCTCGATTATCGATTTTTCGGGCAGTATCGACTTCGTTAGAAAGCTCATTTTCGGATGTGGTTTCTTCAGGATACATCACTTGGGCATCTCTTTGTGTTGTATCCGACGAGCTACCTTCAGTAGTAACTCCTTCTGTAGTTTCAATTTCAGACGCAAAAACAACGTCTTTATTGTCAAGAGACTTTGATATAGCTGACGCAGAACTAGGAGCTATACCAAGACCAACTCCAGTAGTCGTTATTACATCGCCTCCAACATTTATCAAGACACTCGATGCCGATTGTATTAATTGTTTATAAGCACCATCAATAACAGTGCCGAAAACAAATGATGTGAATACTGTAGTCGTACCATTAAATGACTCAGTTCCACCAATGGATTTAAGGAGGCCTAAACCATCAGTTGCTGGGTTGTAGACTTGAGTAGATGTCGTTGCAAATGTTGATAAAGGTTCAGTTGCAACGGATTGTGACTTCACATCGTCAGAAGTGTCTTCAATACTCGGTTGTATGGATTCATTGTAGTCGGGAGATGGAAATGACGGACTGATACCAAACCTGTTTTCATTTTCAGAAGGAGGTTGAGGAACGTATACCGGTTCATAAGCCTTGCTTTCTCTTAAAGCAGCATCAGCTTGTATTGTTGGTAGAGTTGTATGCATGCTCAAGGAGTGGCCTGTTACGGTTTTTGTTGCCATTCCAGGTGAATGGGACATGAACGTTTTGATGCTCGTCACCACCGGCATGGCCGCATCCTCTGGACGTAATGTAGCTTCTCCTGTGATGGACGTGACAGCACCAGCAAGTTGAGGATCTGGAGTCTTTGGCATGAATACAATAACTGTATCTCCGACTGTAGTCATGAAATCAGCGAATCCAAAGTACGTCACTGTATCTAATTTTTTCTCTTGTTTCACCGGTATACCTCCTCTAAATAATGCTTTTCCATTTCGTTTTCCTGGTTTTGCGACATCTTCTTTCTTTTCCTGTGGGTCATCCAAGGAGAATCCACTAGGAGCAAACTCATGACGGACGGTAAAAGTAGGCAAATCATTGTTAGATTTAATTACGTTGGCCGGTTTAATCTCACTATTCCTCTTGACAGAGTATTCCTTTCTTACCGATACTACATTCTCTCTTTCATCTCCAGCGACTGGAGGCAAAACCTTTTGAACGTTCTGCCTCGTATCGGACAAGTCGAAAAGGTCGTCTAATGTTAGCTTATTGTAGTTTTCATGATTACCAACTATTTCCTGAACTTTGGCCACATCGTCCAGTGACTGTGTCTGTTGACCCTCTCTCTCGGCAGGAGATTTGGCTTTGGTCGAATCCAAAGGGATTTTCGGTAGCACCGTAGGAAAGACTAGGAAAGTGTCAGTCGGTTTAGGTCTTGGGGAGTTGTCGTAGAAGACTCTGGACCCAGTGCTGAGGAGACGAGCGTATGTCGTCCCTAGAGTAGTTCCCAACACCTGCGTAGTGAATTCTGTGGTGGTGCCTGCCTGTACGAAGGTCCTTGCTGTAGAAGACAGCACCCCAAGTGCCCGAGGGCTCTTGGCATTCTCCTCCAATGAGAGGACCGTCACATCTAAGGAGGCACACATAGGAGGACAGACACACAAGAGGTTAGTCAAAGTCCACTTTGTACACAGAATGGCTGAGAAATATTCCATTCAAGATTCTTTTAATTCGCATAACAATTGTATTTTATAATTCATCAGATCAAAAATACCCAAAGTATCAAAATTCAAAAGTCTGCATTATGAGTACAGCTTTAAACAAAAGAGAATTGATTTTAAATAAGTTTACTACAACTCTTAGTTTATTCTATTCTAGCTATCTAGAACGTATACGTACATTAAAGCTCAGCTTAAATAATAAAAATATATACTGTCTATTACAGTTTGATTTACTTCCAAAAAAAAAGACCTTTGTAAAGATAATAGGGGATGTTAATGTTCACATGAAATATTTCCCAGCCAGGATTAAATATTATTTCAAGCGTACCACAAGTCATTGGGGCCATAATTATACAGTTTTCTTTTTTTAAACCTATTTTTTTAGTACAAAACAAGTTTGGGTAGATGAAACTTTACAACTACTGTTAATAAAACATAATATTTATTTATGGTTCCTCAATCAATAGACACATTTTAATTCTATAGACTATTTTTTTTTTTACATTATTAAAAGAAACTATTTAAATCACATGCATGAAATGCTTGTATAAGAGTTATCTAAATAATTTCAAACCAAACAATAAAAATGTGTACATTATACTCTTGAGCAAAAGGAATTCAAAATTGTAAAGTAAATTTTACTTATTTTGAAGTATTTTAATTGTAAGGATTACTTTAAATTTCATATTTATGACCCCAATAAATACTAGTAAACATGTGCTGTATACTCCAAAGAGACGAGAATGAGCATTAAGGATTCAATAACAAGTAACGGTCTTAATAAGGCTTTGAAAATTCTGAATCCCACTTTCAATGTGTATTTGCATGTTAAGTACACATAGTTTCAGAGATTTTTAGAGTAACTCTTAAAAAAGATAACCACTTTGCATTTTTCATCAATAATGCTCGTAGTATGGTTTTGATTATACATTTTGAGTTCAAATCATAGAAACTTCTTAGGGATTAAGAAATGGGAACACCTTTAATTTAAATAGATACATTCTCATCCCTTGGAATATTTATATTTCAACATTGAATTGTTTTTATACATTGACACAAACCAAATTCCATTTAGGTTGTAATAGAGAAAGCAAGAATGTATGAGTACACCAAATAAAGGAGTGTGTTTTTTTTATAATATATACAGAAAATTCTACCTACTCATGTATGCTGAACTAAAAACATTTTTTTGTGCTACTACCTTAAAATTAGCCCATGTGAAAATTTGAGTGAAAATGACAGGTTACATTCACAAAAATCTGAAAAGAGTCATATTGTGTGTGAGTGTTCCTTAACTCTAGTTTTGTTTAAGGAAAAAAATGGATCCATTTTCGGGCCACCGGACTCCAGCAAAATCAGCATCCCGGAAAATCTAGATGGCAGTCGTAGTCAAGACTATACATACATGACTATATAGCGTAATCGAAAGTCAATCAACAATAGACTTGGTAAGTAGAACACAATCAAAAGACGAATAAAAGATGTGGCTTTGGGGCCGAGACCAAACATCTTATTAGTTCCATTATGTCACGATTGTAAAGTTGTTTTGGGTCAGGTGTAGTGGGGGGGGGGGGGGAGAGTCAAGGGGCAAGTGATGAGGAGAAAGTCAAAACATCACTCCAGGCGAGTCGTGAACTCAAAATCTTTCAAATTGCTTCCAGAAGGGTTAATGTAGAATACGTCCCTCACGCATAGTGAAAATTATAGTGTCAAATGTTTTAGAAAGCTAATAAACGGACGCATTTGTAGGTATTCAACGAGTAGTCCGGTTTGTAAGTTTAATATTATCTTATTCTTAGTAGAATCATTGTGATTTGTCTTAAATGCACGATATTTCGAATAAGCAGACATAATGTTTTTATCGTATCAGAGAGAGTAAAATCGCATCAACTTAAGTACAATCAAAGCAGTGGTGGTCGAACATCGAGCATTTACAATTGCATTAAAAACAAAAACATTTAATTTCAACTTAATAACTCTGGTGGTAATAGAAAGTAAGAAATACGTGCGGGCCACTCTATCACACTAATATGTACCATTCTTCACGCTTACTTGTCAAAATACATTCTGTAATCGTTTAAACAAAATTAAAAGGTTCTCATATAAATGCTAACAATAATCAATAATCTCCAATCAATATATTTCCAACCGTTCATACTTTCACAAAGGCCAACTCGGTGGAAGCTATTCGAGTTTTATTTTTTTTACTCACGCACTGTCTGTGTTTTATGCTGCTCCCGAAATAAGAGTTTTTTTTTAAGCATTACAAATATTCCATGGTAAGACATGTTGATGTTTTCTAAGCTATCCAGGGTTTTTATTCAGGGGATTTGCCCATTGACACTGGAAGACTTTATTGTAGCAAGGCGGGAAGGGACGGAGGTGACCCATTTAACGATTGCATCATTTCCCCACGCTGTATATTCCTTACAGATGTAAATTTCCATTATAAATGACCGAGTATTGCATAGACTCTGGATTTATTAAGAAGGTCATTCACCTCTAAAGTATCATGATTGTAATTTTACAACGTACAGTTTTAAAGGTTGACTTTACTACTCCAAATTATTATTTTTGATTTTTTAGTAGTGTTTGAAAATCAGACTTTTTATTTAAATTACGTTGTTTAAAACCCCCAAGACTCCTTATTCAGTTACACCGATATTTTCGAGAGGAGAAAACTAATGTCCGGTACTTTTTCAAAAGGTTTTCTTAGACAATGTCGAGGTTTTGGTATAAAGTTTATTTTTCCGTATGAAAAATTAACCATATAGTAAACTCATGGTGATAATAGTTGTAGTGTGATGTAAATACAAAGATATTTATTTTAATAATGTTAATTTATGTTTACTATCCTCGTGCTGTATTTAATTACATCTTTTATCTGTGTTAAAAACGTAAATAATGAACACATTCTCTTAAAAATGTTTGTAAAATAAAATAAGCAAATACATTTTTCTGAATACCATAAAAATATTCAAAATTTTTCTTTGACAGATAACAAAAAATATATAAAATGTTTATGTGTGTATGAAAGATCCTGCCTAATAAGAACAAAACATGAGCTAAACTAAACTCTTTGACGTAGTGATCTGTAAAGAAAATTGATTAGGGTAGTGTGTATAATAATGTCATTGGGGTTAACAAATTCCCCAATAAATAGCACAACACCCAATAAACAAATAATAGATTGAGGGTAAAGGTTGGAGTGAAAAGTTTATAACAATGAAAACACAAAGCATGCTTTACATTATTGCTAATTTTTAAGCATTTCATAGGTTGTTATTTACATTTGACTCAATGAGTGAGCTAGTGTAAAATTTCCTAGATTAATATAGTTAACATCTTTAACTATGTATGTTTTAATTCCAAATCTTAACAATACATATCGTTACTACTTTACCTCCATCATTTCGTCTAAATCTTTCTCCATTGTGTATCCTATTTGTGGGAAACTCTGCTGCATTTCCTGAAACATACAAATATCATCAGTACTCATGCTTGTTTTTATCCATATACAGTTACAACGGTCAAGGTTGGCTGAACAAAATTGATATTTATTGTTTTAACATTAACTGTACTAAATATGTAGGAAAGATATTTTGAAATAGTTTGAAATAACTCTAAATTGGTAAATAATTTAAATTTGGTGCATTGCTATGTACATAAAGAAAATAAAAATAAACTAAGGACACTCACAAACCACTTTTTGATTGATTTTGAACTCTAAGACAAAACACGATTACAGCTAAATTAGTACACTAGTACTACATAAATATCAAAAAGATTTTGAAAAATGAGAACAAACCACACAAGCTTAAATTGTAATACTTAATTGTTATCTTCAGAAATAATGTATTCATTGTATGCTGAAATATTATTTAACTAACTATAAATTATTTTTATATCTATAGAAAATAAACTCATTACCTCAGTAAACCCAATCTCTGTAATTGCATACATTTCCATCAGAACGATTAAAGTGCTTGTAATTAATCGATTTTGTGAAAAGTTGATGAACATATTTTCACCAAACCACTGCCTATGGATTCTATGTGATAGCGGATCAAAATGTGTTTACCAAAGTTTCACCAAATGTTTTATCACAAAATTCTATTAGTGGGTTTTAATCAGCAAAAGTTAAAGTTTTTTGAGGTTTGTACTGGCAGAAACCTTTCAATGCTTAATGTTTATGATTTTTGAAGCTTTTGTATTTATGTAAATAATATTATAATGCTATGTGAGCAATAAATATTTATAGGGAAGCTTAAATCATGGTTATTATACAGTATAAAAAATAATAATTGCGTAGTTATTTTACAATAGATTCAATTATATGACAAACGATAGCCAGATACATGAATGTGTAGGCAACACGAGTATTTTCCGTTTTAGAATATAATTAAATAGCCATACTTAATTGAGTATTAACAAACGGAAAGAAACCCATACTACCTAAATCAAGTACAAACCAAAGCTCACATTTTATTATGAAAATAACTAATGTATATCTACTGTGAATAGAAAATGTTTTCAATTGTAGTAAAAATACTTTAGTATGTTTCCATATTTTTTTAAAGATAAGCCAATAGTATACAATCAATAATAAGCATTTCATCTGACAAATTAGAAAAAAATTCTTTCTGTCCTTCAAAATTTGACTTTAAAATTAAAATATTTAGTACTCCAAAAATTATATTTAACTGATTAGTAAATAGTTTTTAGTAAATTTTCACATTTATTTGTTCATTCTTACTCATTTTAACCAATAGTACGTACTTTTTATGGTTTTACATCGGTTTCGCAAAATCGAAGGAAAGAAGTAACTTGAGCAAGTCAACCTTTATTCGACAACGCTCTTCGTAATTCAATTGTTCACTTTTCTAAACCAGGAAACCAATAATTGCCGTTTGAGTGAAAACATCACAGTTTCATCTCCTGCTGACTGGCTTCCGAATGTAAAATGTCATCTTAAATAGTTCTGAGTAAATCGTGTAATCTTTTCTGAACAATCGGAGTCTTGTTAGTCTCAGAAGGGTTTAATTTTCTATGTTCTAATTCAAATATGATTAAATCTAATTATTTATTGGTTGAATCATATCCCAGCAACATGGCTTCACCAAGTTTACAAAACATGTCGGCGAAATTTAATCTTTTCTAAACATGTATAAATAATAACATTTTAAAGTTGTTTTGTAAGGTAAAAGTAAGAAAATCTGTATACCAATTAACTCTCAGATGAATTGAAACAAACATTTATCTATGATTTACAGCAAAACTTGCGTTTTAGTATTTAAATTAAATTACAAACAAAACAGCCTAAATTAGAAACAACTCTGAATGTATAAATAAGATTAATGACGATCTTTCTTTAGGTTTTCTTGGTTTGAGGTCAGTGAATTATTGTCGTGACAGAGTCAAAACTTTATGTGACAAGTTGAGAAAAATATCTTTAACATAAAACAAGAAATAAAGTGGTAATATTGGTTGTCGACGTATCTAAAATATTAGCAACGTAAAATAAATTCAAAGCTGAATGTGTTATTTCTTTCTCGTTAACCGTTTGAAAAGATAAATAACGCCGTATAAGAAGGCACTAACAAGGCATGTGTTATAATAATGAAACCTGTTTGGATTACAGTACTGCGATACATTTAATTTTTAAACGATAACAGAGAACAAGGTTATTGTATCGAGGAAGTAATAAGCTTAATCCAAGGGGTGAAATTACACTTTTGTACTGAAACTAATTCTTTATAATGCAAAGTTTATTTCCATTCCGAAAATAAATCCACATAAACATTCCTTCCCTTGCGACCAAGCCATCAATTTGAGAAAATAAATCATCCATATAATTTGGGAAACCCCAGAACCATGAAAAAATGTGCAATTTCCTATTTTGCCGGCCATTCCTACCTACAAGCATTTCTCGGTCTATATAGTATTCTATTTCCCTGCTGAAATACGATTGTTGGTAAAACGGACATTGATAAATTGTTTCGAAAGAGGGAATAATCCATTTCTAGAAATTGGCATTCACTGTAAAATACATCTCCATGTCATAATTTTGCATATTTTCCACTAGTCAACCTTCAAATCTAAAAATATTTGGCTGGATGAGAAATCGGCCGATTGTTGTTGGAGGAGGAAGTGGTTACTTATGGATGCAAATAAGATAAGAAACAACCAACGGATTGTTACGCAAGATAGCGGGAATAACAAGGTCACTTCTGTTATTGTATTCACCTCTTTATCATTCATCATTCATCATTCACCATCGAGAGGGTGAAAACACTTGCAATCATGCACCTTTGAAACATCCGTTGGCAGATGCAGTTGAGTGGGGCAATGACGTAGATGAAGTCCTTTACCTATTCAGACGTTTTAACCTATTTTTACGTGTTTTAGCGTTGAATTTCCTTCAAATGAACATTATAGTTATCTAAATCAATTTAAGTTACAGTTTTCACCAGTGACATTTTGTATGAGAAATGTTTTTAAGGGAAAGCTGTCCTATCCAACCGTCCCTTTTGCTTCAGCATTTACTTTACCAGCCTTAGGTGTAAAAGTCGTTTTACAACATTATTTGTGTTTACGCACTTCTGGCAATACTCTAGACATTAACCATCACATTGTGGCATGTTAAACTCACGATGTTCAACTAATTATTCGCTTAGCCTTATTCCAAACTCCATTTTAAGTCCATGCCTTTTTCTGTGAGATATTCAATAAATAAATAAGTTAAGCTAAACTAATGTAATGCATCTTGTAGTGGAGACAACTGGCCTACTTTGTATAAGTAAATTTGTTATTTAAGGTTACGTTGTTTCAAACAATTATAAATTTTAAATTATTGTAGGTTAAACCATCAACACTGATAGGAACTGATAACAACGTGAAATAGAGTATATGCTAATTTTTCACTTGTGAAACTATTATTAAGGTGCTAATATCACGAATAAATTTCACCAAGTCTATTGTACAAAGTAAAAGTTTCTTGTTTAAAATGTTGTTCTCTACTTACTCCATTCATGCATCAGGAAAGTGACCTACTGAAGCTAAATATATTCATTTCGAACATGTAAATAGCATAAATTACAAATGAATATTCATCGGTCATAAGCATACATAAGAAAGTTTTAATGACAATCAATTGATAATTCCGAAATCAGACGAAATTAGATGCAACTGTCATATTTAAAGAGAAGGATAACCACAAAACCACATATTACTTTGGTGCAAAAAAGTAAACGTTGCGCACCGGATGTGCCCCCGGGCAATCAGTCCAAGACTTTCAAGAAAGCGAAAAGGGAAATTTGGGCATTTCGCCAGCGAACATACTGGACAAGCAGCACTGGCCTGAAATCCGCGAGAAAATCCATTAACTAAGACGGAAACTTGTTAGTGGGACGTGACAAATTTACTTTTTCACCTGCAAGTTGTAAATATGCTGTGTTCTCGAATGTGCTACACGTACTTGTTAAACTGCTTTTCTGGGACTTTTGCGTGAAAAATAATATTTTGCACATGCGTAAAGTTTTTAAACAGCTTAATGTTGACCATGGTTATATATATCACATTCCCATGGTTTGGAATAATGGTTGCCGTTAAATTGAACCCCCGATGGAGTATGCTGCTGTGAATTATTATTATTTTTTTTTGTACACAACAACCTTGAACTAAGTCAAACTGGAGGGAAACATTATTGTTAACTAGCATACTTGATTCATCTTCAAATTCTGTGTGGATAAAATTTTATTATATGATTTCTATTCTGGTACATGAGGTCAATAATTTTATTAGACATAGAACATCATAATATGATCTCATATTACTAGATCTCAGCACCTGATAGAGATTCACTTGTCACTGTTGGCCACTAACATTTCTAATACATTAAAGATATGGTTTCTGCAGTTAACTCAGAAAAAACAAAAATGTCACTTGTACCCCTTGGCTTCTCACCCCTTCATATTCAATTCACTTGCAAATGAAAGACGGTGAACGATGCATTTAGAGTTAACATAATTGTCTAACATTTTGTCGATTTAATATTTTTTTAACTCCATGCATTAAAAAAATTTCTACACATTTAACCAAAGACCATTTTCCTATTGCAATTTGAAACCAAATAAATTTTAAACCACAAACATCGATAAACAAACACAATAGTCAAACCATCAGTAAAATACCGTTAATTAAATAAAGTTCAGATGAAAACGACCAAAACTGTTGATGGAATTGATTGGCCTATTGAAATACATTGTACAGGCTGGCAAACAATAGCGTTGTTAATTATGCCACCAAATATGGGAGTCGGGTTATGATATTCCCATAACAGCGTTGAAGCATTGTATATACCCGTATGTTGCTCGCACCGTGATACCACGCTTTGGCACCAAAGGGAAATGTTTACAATTACGGAAACATACAACAACAAAATACCTCGGGAATTCCATGGCTAATTAT